CCCGCCATTAAAGGACCAATCTCTGTCTCTCTCTCTCTCATTCCATTTGAATGGATCAACAGATTACCTAGCCAGGCCATACGTCAAAGACTGTCTTCTATATGCCCGAGGAGAAGAAAAAGAAAGGCAAGAGAAAAGAAGGCCAGCCTATTCGCTAAAACTTAGGGGAGAAAAAACAAAAAAATCACTTACTTACAAACTACTCACATTGTCAGGATCTGCACATACTTACAAACTACTCACATTGTCGCGATCAAAACACACTTACAAAGTATTCACATTGTTGCCATCCGAACACACTCATGGACACTTTAAGACTAGAACAACAAAACAATCCTTCGGAGTTCGGAATATAAAGACAACCCCTGGAGTAACTCAAATAATAAATGAAATTTATTGTAAATTTAAATATTCTAAATTTGAACCTTGACAATTTTTTAGAATCAAATTATGAAAGATTTATTTCTTATGAATATCTTAGTCTTAATTTGAATGATTTATTTTTTGATTAAATCGGAGAAAAAATCAATCAAAATACATGTAAAACATCCCTGATATTTGAACAAAAATATATATATATATATAAGATGTAAATTGGCAACTCAGTTGGCATCTCCTTATCATAATAACACTCGTGAAAAAAGTCAGAATAACAATAAATAACAGAATAAAACCAAGAAAATCCAACTGCTAGAGGCAGCAATTTAATATTATATTCTGGCAAATAAAATATTCTAAAGAATTTGACAAAAAATCATAAAAAAAAAAATCAAATAAATCCTTGGAATGGTGAATTCCGATCAGTTCGACGGAACNTCTGCACATACTTACAAACTACTCACATTGTCGCGATCAAAACACACTTACAAAGTATTCACATTGTTGCCATCCGAACACACTCATGGACACTTTAAGACTAGAACAACAAAACAATCCTTCGGAGTTCGGAATATAAAGACAACCCCTGGAGTAACTCAAATAATAAATGAAATTTATTGTAAATTTAAATATTCTAAATTTGAACCTTGACAATTTTTTAGAATCAAATTATAAAAGATTTATTTCTTATGAATATCTTAGTCTTAATTTGAATGATTTATTTTTTGATTAAATCGGAGAAAAAATCAATCAAAATACATGTAAAACATCCCTGATATTTGAACAAAAATATATATATATATATAAGATGTAAATTGGCAACTCAGTTGGCATCTCCTTATCATAATAACACTCGTGAAAAAAGTCAGAATAACAATAAATAACAGAATAAAACCAAGAAAATCCAACTGCTAGAGGCAGCAATTTAATATTATATTCTGGCAAATAAAATATTCTAAAGAATTTGACAAAAAATCATAAAAAAAAAAAAAATCAAATAAATCCTTGGAATGGTGAATTCCGATCAGTTCGACGGAACATCGGACGATTGCCGGAACCCATCATCAGTCTCCACTCTATTCATCTCTTCAATCATCCTTAACACCTCTCGCATTTCTGGCCTTTGATCAGGCACAGTGGCTACACACCCCATGGCAATTTGCAACAACTGAACCATCTCTTCCTCATTATTATCGTACCTCATAAGCTCCACATCGAACACCTCTGCAGTCCATTCCTCCCGGACCACTGACCGAACCCACCTTGGCAAATCAACGCCTTCGTCGTCCCCCAATGAAGCCTGGTTTGGTGCCTTTCCTGTCAATAGTTCCAATAGTAACACCCCAAAGCTGTAAACATCTGACTTGAACGTGGCCTTCCGCGTTTCCACCACCTCTGGAGCATAGTAGCCCATGACACGGTGGTTGGGCATTGTAGAAGCGTTAGAGAGTAAGTTTAACCCAAAATCAGACATGCACGCGTCGTGAATGCCTTGTCGCTGTCGAAGGAGGATGTTGGAGGACTTGATGTTGCCATGGACCACTTTGCCGGAGACATGGAGGTGTGTAAGGCCTGTTGCAGTGGTTAATGCAATTCTCATCCGAGTGTCCCACTCTAATGGTGTTCGGCCTGATCCTCTGCTCCCTGCAACCAACCACATTAGACGCATTGCCAGTGACCATTGGAATCAATATTTTGTTCGATCAAGGGTGTTTCGTATATATATTCTGAAATATAGATTTAATGAACTACAAGTTGAGTAGGGATGATCACATGATCGACCAATGAAATTTTTCATCCAGGTAATCAGAATTAATTTTTTTTAAAATGGTAAAATAGCATAGCAAAGCTGTTATAGACAAAAATAAAAAATAGAAAATATTATGTGAAGAATTGAATTCTCACCGTTCTAAAAGTAAAAACAAAGAACAACACAAAAGCTCAAAACTAACATGGGGTGTGTTTGAAAACTAACATGGGGAGACTTTCTCATCATATCATGAAATATATTAAGTACAGTTTGTAANACATCGGACGATTGCCGGAACCCATCATCAGTCTCCACTCTATTCATCTCTTCAATCATCCTTAACACCTCTCGCATTTCTGGCCTTTGATCAGGCACAGTGGCTACACACCCCATGGCAATTTGCAACAACTGAACCATCTCTTCCTCATTATTATCGTACCTCATAAGCTCCACATCGAACACCTCTGCAGTCCATTCCTCCCGGACCACTGACCGAACCCACCTTGGCAAATCAACGCCTTCGTCGTCCCCCAATGAAGCCTGGTTTGGTGCCTTTCCTGTCAATAGTTCCAATAGTAACACCCCAAAGCTGTAAACATCTGACTTGAACGTGGCCTTCCGCGTTTCCACCACCTCTGGAGCATAGTAGCCCATGACACGGTGGTTGGGCATTGTAGAAGCGTTAGAGAGTAAGTTTAACCCAAAATCAGACATGCACGCGTCGTGAATGCCTTGTCGCTGTCGAAGGAGGATGTTGGAGGACTTGATGTTGCCATGGACCACTTTGCCGGAGACATGGAGGTGTGTAAGGCCTGTTGCAGTGGTTAATGCAATTCTCATCCGAGTGTCCCACTCTAATGGTGTTCGGCCTGATCCTCTGCTCCCTGCAACCAACCACATTAGACGCATTGCCAGTGACCATTGGAATCAATATTTTGTTCGATCAAGGGTGTTTCGTATATATATTCTGAAATATAGATTTAATGAACTACAAGTTGAGTAGGGATGATCACATGATCGACCAATGAAATTTTTCATCCAGGTAATCAGAATTAATTTTTTTTAAAATGGTAAAATAGCATAGCAAAGCTGTTATAGACAAAAATAAAAAATAGAAAATATTATGTGAAGAATTGAATTCTCACCGTTCTAAAAGTAAAAACAAAGAACAACACAAAAGCTCAAAACTAACATGGGGTGTGTTTGAAAACTAACATGGGGAGACTTTCTCATCATATCATGAAATATATTAAGTACAGTTTGTAAAGAGCGTAAAAGAACTATGTTTCTATTCAAGTAATTAATCTACCTGAAGCCTATCTTATTTGATTTAGACATGACAAGGAAAAAAGTTCAGCTAAGTTATCATATTTCAAACCTAATAATTGATCAAATAATGGCAACTTAATTATAACTTCAAATAATTCACGTATAAAACATTACGCATATTTCGATTAATCTCTTTTTCGATCAAATCAAAATCAAATCATCTACGTTGAGAGTAGAATATGCTATGAGGAATTTGGCCCGACCCCAAGATGGATCCAATGTGACATATCGTAATTACATGTATCTAAGATTTTACTCTATAAGAGGGATCCAATGTGACATATAGTAATTACTCGTCATAAAAAAGAATCCAGACAGCTACTAGTAGTTGACAAAATTCCAAAATATCCTCTTTTATGTCAAAATAAATCAAAGGAATAGTAAATATTAAGAACAAGAAAATATTATAGGAATATATTTATAACTAGAGCATCTATGTGTAAAACACATTTTTTTTTATCGCGGTTAACTATAAATAGACTGAGTTATTATAATTAACAAATTAAAATTTAAATCATTGTATAATTCATTGGATATAAACAATCTGCTCCGTTATTATGGTTTATGCAAGCATGATTATGTGTTGGACTATTGTTGTGTTTTATGTAAGCAAGATTATGTATTTGATTATATAGATTGTTCAAAGAACAATCTATATATACAACAAATTCCGAAAAATCATACTCTAAAATTGCCACAGCTTGATTTTCAGTATTAAACAAAATAAATTTGAAAACATGAATGATCCAATTCAGCAACACCCAGGAAATAAAAATAGAGATTATTTAAAAATACCCAAAAAAAAAAGAAGAGAAAACTAAAAATCAGTATTTTCCATCACTGTTTAGAACTAGAGCTTCATCACTGGCAAAAATTCAGAAACAAACTCAAATGTTTACATATGGACAGAGAAAACCATGCAGTCAATATCAGCAAAAATTTCAAAGATTCCCACAAATGTAGCAAAAATTATGGTTAAACACACACAGAGACAGGAGAGAGAGAGAGAGTACCATGAAGAAGAGCAGATAAGCTACCAGCAGGCATATAATCATAAACTAACAATTTCTCATCATTAGAATAGTAAAAAGCTCTGAGAGGCACCACATTCTCATGCTTAATCTTCCCCAGAACCTCCATTTGCTGCTCAAACTCTCTCTTAGTCGCCACCACATCTTTCAACCTCTTCACCACCACCGCCGTGCCCTCCTCCAATACCGCCTTGTACGTCGTCCCAAGACTCCCTTTCCCCAACACCTCCGCCGATGCCCTCAACAGATCCTCTAAATCAAAACTATATAACCCACCATTAAAGCACACCAACTTATTCCTTTCTACCTCGGCAGACCCACCTGTAACATCCTCTTTTGATGAAGAATTCCCTGTCTCCACCACCGCCCTCGCCGTCGAATACGGCCTCGCAGTCGCAGGTTTCGGAGATTTTGTCCTTTGAATTCTCTTAATACAATGGATTAGAATGATCAAAAGAAGAAGTAGAAACAATGCGGAACCGATAGATATAGCGATTATAGCTAATGTCGAGAGTTTTTTGGATTTATTATGAAATGGGTTTGGAGCTGATGGTGATGGAGAAAGTGAAGGGTGAGATGGGTTACATGGGAGCAATGGTTCGTCACAGAGATCAACGTTCCCGGTGAATGATGAAGGTGCGAATTTCGATAGCGTTGGTGGGATTGACCCATTGAGATGATTGTTTGAAACATTGAAATTGACTAGTTCGTCCGAGTTTAAGCTCGGAAGATTGCCGGAAAACCCATTATTTTCCAGGAAAAGTCCGGTTAAATGGATGAGATTGTTGATAGAAACTGGGATTGGACCAGTGAGGTTGTTGGTGGACAAATCTAGACGGGTTAACCGAGTTAACTCGGTGAGACTCGGCGGGAACTTGCCGGAGAACTGGTTGTTCTGGAGGTAGAGGCTTCGGAGGAGCGTTAGGTTGGAGAAATCAGAGGGAACAGCACCGGTGAGTCGGTTGGAGCGGAGACTGAGGATTCGGAGCTGACTCAATTGGCCGAGCGTGTTCGCCGGAATCTGACCCACAAGGCCGGCGGCGGGTAGCCGGAGAGAGAAGACAAATGATTGACTGGCATCGCATTCTACGCCGACCCAGTTGCAGGCTGAGTCTGAAGCGTTCCATTGGAGGCGATTCTCGTGTGGGGTTTGGGAAAGAAAAGCAAGGAGTGCTTGCTTGTCCCGAGTGGGCTCAGAATCAACTCGGTGACTCAGCAATAACAGAAGTAAAGCAGAAATGAGAAAAAAAAGAGCATTTGCCTTATAACTCTCTAACGTTACCATTTGAAATGGTTTTTTTTGCCAAACGAATTGAATTGAAGGAATGAGTTTTGATTTACTTGTTTGTTTCTAATGGCGGTTTGTGAGAAGCCATTAGTCTTAGAGAGAGAAAGACAGGAGCAACTTGAGAGACTGGGAGACAGAGAGACAGAAGGGGGTTTTGTAAACTGAAGGTCTGGCTAGAGAACATGGAAAAAAGTGGGAAAAAGGGCGATAATTATACTAATACCCCCTTTAGTTTTTGATATTTTGATTGTACTCACTATTATTGTTGGAGTTACATTTAATGATAAATATCATAATTAGTCTTTAAATTTCGTCTCACATCCAGCATTACTCTTAAAATAGTTCTTGAACTTTAGCTCTCTTAATTTACTCCCTCAACTATCAATTTTGTTTCAATTAACCCTTTTTTCCATTTTCATTCATTAAAACAAACGTATCGTGCGACACATAACATGAACAACTACATGACAAACACATGTTTACCTTAGTTTGTTATAATGACTAAAATTGATGAAATTACTTAATTGATACGAAATTGATTGTTGAGAGATTAAATTGAAATTAAGCTACAAGTAACCTATCATCATAGTCTTGTAGTAAATTATTATTAATTTAGGGTTGATAATCGAGGTAAATCTTTTGAGCTCGTCTTTTTTAAATGAGCCTAAAAAAATATTATAACTTGGCTCGTTTAAAAAATGAACCGAACCCTAGTTAAGCTCAAAACAAACCGACTCTGAATAATTTGACTATTTTACATGTAAATGACCCAAGTCTTTTAAGTTCGTTTTTAAATTAGTCTAAAAAATTATTCACGCTTGACTCGTTTAAAACACAAGCCAAGTGTAAATCGAGTCCTGTTGAAACCAAACCCAAATAGCTGAGCTTAATTGTTAGCCTTAGTTTTCATTCTCATTTGATTTCAGGCAGGTAGATTGGGGGGAGATCAAAGTTAAAATGCAATCTCCCGACCCCTTTGAAAAGTGCGGTCCATCTTCAGACTACCCTCGTAGTCTCTGAAGACAATCTATTAAGGCAAGAGGTACAAATTTGTAAAATTCACCTCTCATATTTAACAAAATTCCTTGTTAAGGGAATTGTAAACAAAATTCCTTGTTAACGGAATTGTAAACAAAATTTGATAAGGGGCGTTAATGAATATTACATAATATAATGGGTATTTTTAAATTATAACATTTTTTAATGAAATTTTACATTTCTTTTTGTCAAATCTTAGGTAACTTCAGAATTTCCAAAAAAATTTGTTGGGG